AAAGATCTTAGACTGAGGTCCCAGGAGCATAAAATGGAACTGATGTGCCTGAGTGTATAGAAAATACTATTGTTAGGCATTTTAAAGATGTTAAAGCATTTGGAAGAAATTAGTGAGTAGTTCATAGAAAACAAGGCAAATGAAAAATCAGTCAATTATTAATTTCAAGGAAAAAAAATTAAGGTTGCATAAAAATGGAGCCATGGTTGTAGTATTTTACCTGGCTCAACAGTGAACAATATCTTATGATCAAAATACTGTAAACAGTAACTGCTAATTTAACCAAAAATTGATATAATGGTGAAATGGTAGGTGGAAAAAGGGAACTAAGTCTTCATCTGTTATGGCAGGGAAGTTAATAGATGTCAAAAAGGTATTTCTAGAAATGGTATTATAACCATAGTATTTAGAAATAATAACACTAAGGGGAAAAGCTAGAGGAGTTGAGGATGTTCACTCCTGGGAACTTGGGGCTTGGGATAGAGATGAGTAAGGAAGGGGTTGCCTTTTTATCATTATAGTGTTATTTAAATTAAAAAGTACACACATGGATTAAAATGAATTAAAAATACATAGTATGGTAGGTATATTTTTGAAAGTAAATGTTTTGGTGTGTTGTAAATGGCAGTAGAATGGGACTAGGAGGCCCAATTTCCTGTCCTGCACTGTTGCTAACTCACTGCGTGGGGCAAGTCACCCCCCTCTCTGGTTCAGCGTCCTCATCTACAAAATGAGTCAGTGAGCTAGAAGATCTTTAAAACCACTTCTCAGCACCAAAATTCTGTGATTTGGGGCTTTTCAAATATCAGACCATTAACCAAGTGTTATGTTTGGCTTTGGTTTAAAAAAAACCAAAGATAGCTACAAGTACAAAACTTTAACTTGGATGGTGTTTGAAAGTCCATGTACTGGCCTCACCCACAACCTTACCTTCTGAGGGAAGTGGCCTCAAGCTATGGTTGCCAGAAACAGCAAAATTGAATTAAATTAAATTTAAAAGCAGCACACCTGGTTAAACTTAAATTTCAGACAAACAAGAAATACCTGTTATTATAAGTAAAGAACAAATATCTGTTGTCTATCTGAAATTTAAATTTTACTGGGCTTAGTGGCACCTTCCACTTCAGTTGTCAGTTTTGGTCATGTGACAGATTCTAACCCAAGTCCCCGTGGATAGGCTGGAACCAGCAGCCCATGAGGAAGCCCAATATAAGAACTCTGCCCAGTAAGGGCTCTTTTTACTGAGTGGTGTCTCATCAGCCCAGTCCGATTCTCTTTCAGCATTTTAAATGTGAGACCTGCTGCGAGGGGCTGGTAAAAATCTGTGAGGAGGATGGGGGCGCACTACGGCCTGGACCCAACATGGGAGAAACTGATTCAAGAATGGCATGGTCTGTTTATGAGTCAGTCTCCTCATAAGCTAGACTGAGAACTTCTCCTGGGCAGGGACCGTGACTAGTTCATTTTGGGGTACCAAGTATGATGCCTGGCACAGTACAGGTTGAATGAAAGTGTGCAAGGTATACAACCTTGCCTTCTTGTCACTTACCATCTGCTACATGAGATAGATTTACACCAAGGATGGGCTGGTGAATGGTGCAGAGGTCGGGGAGAGCTGTTATTTACAGTGACTACTGAATGTTTATTCTCAACCAGGTGCTCTGCCAAGTGCTTTATCTTCATCCTGTCATTTAAGCCTCCCAATGACCCTATGAAGCGGTTATTACCCTTATGTTACAGGTGAGAAAAACTCAGAGAGATCGAAAAACTCAGAGAGATCGAATAACTTGCTTAAGGCAACACAGCTAGTTATGGGTCAGGGGGCAAGTTCAGAACCCAAGTATGTGCAGCTCCAAAAGCCAATACTTTCTCCAGGACTTTGTTGTCCATATGCTAGAAAGGAAAGTGCAGATGAAATAGTGCCTGGAAGATTATCAAGGACTGAGCGGCTGTGAAGTCCGCACTGCCTGCTGTGACCCCAGCTCTTGCTGTGTTTTCAGGAAATTAGTTACTTCCAGTTCCCTGGAGAGCTTCTAATGAGGATGTTGAAGATGCTGATCCTGCCGCTGGTGGTCTCCAGGTGAGGGGCAGGGTGTCTGGCTGGGAGGTCTGGGTGGGGCAGGTAAAAGATTCTGTACAGGTCTGTCCGTGCCCTGCTCCTGCTGTGGGTGGGTGCGGGCCTGGGAGCAGTGAGATTGCGGGGCCCTTATGGGCTGTGGCACAGGCTGCTGGAATCTGTGTCACTCAGTGGCACCAGTTATTTCAGTCTCATTCAAAGGACTTTTTAGTCACTTGAACAAGTGATTTGAAGTCATAGGACGTGACCTGACTCCAAAGCAGCTCGGGGCCAGTTCAGGAATTGCTTTCCAAAGAAGGGGCTCTATGGTGAGTGCAGCAGGGTGTGGGGAAAAGATGACTTTGGAGATGCTCATGAAATGATGTCCTGGCTCAGCAGTGTACTGCACTGGCTGTGCAACCTTGGACAGGTTATCAAACTTCTCTGAGCCTCAGTTTTCTCATCTGTAAAATGGGAACAACACTTACTCTCAAGCATTGTTGTGAGGACTATAGGAGGCTATATAGTTGGGTGTGCCAAATATTCAGGGGTCTGGATAACAGGGTGTGAGGGAAAGATGGTGGGAGATGACGTTGGAGGGTGAATTCTTGCTCAATCATGAAAGACCTTGAGTGCCAGGCTAAAGAATTCAGACTTCACTCACTAGAGCGATAGCCACAGAAAATCTCTGAAGATCACCTGATCTCTATACTGATGCGCTACGTGACTTTGGACAAGCCCCTGCCCCTCTCTAGGTCTCAGATTTTCCAGCTGGCTGTTCCAGATGGTGTCTAAGAGCCCTTTGCTCTGAGGCCATGGATTTAGAGTCCTTACCTCCCAGGACTTCTCTGCAGGAAGGGAAGTGAATCCTGTTGGGGGGGTAGGGGAGGGTTATAGTGGGCTCTGTCTCCTGGGGCAGGGTCATCAGCCTCCCTGCTACTGAGTTCCTCCCCCTTTTCCTCTAGTGTCCCAGAGATAATGCTCCCCAGGCTGGGTGGTACTTTCTGCTCCTTGCAGGGTGGCCTTGTCAAACACAGTTCAGCTTCCTGTAGGCAGCATTTAGGTCTCTCAGGACTCAGACTTCAAGGTTCTGCTGAAATGCCACCTTCCTCCAGAAGCTTTCCCTGATTTCTCAACCCATTCTCCTCTTGTTCTCTCCTCTTTTTATGCATTTTCTGAATCATTCACTGAGTCGCGAATCTGTCAAAGTCACTAGTGGCCCCCATGTTGCTAAATCCAAAGGACACTCTCAGTTCTTGCTCTACATGACCTCTCCACAGCAGATGACACATTTGACACAGCCCCTAATCCCGCTTTCCCTCCTGAAATACTCTTTCCTTTGGCCTTACACTTTCCTGGCTCTTTGCCTGCCCTCTTCCCTTCCATCCCACTCTTATTCAATCTTCTAAATATTGCAATTTCTCAGGCCTTTTCTCATCTGTCCTCATGGCTTTAATATCCCACCAACAAGTCCAACACTCCCCAATATAGATCTGCCTCCCAGGCTTCTCCTCTCAGCTCCACACTCAAACTACTATTTGACATCTCCACTTGGTGTTTCACAAACATTTCAAATTTAGCATAACCAACTTGAGATTTTATCCAGCAAACCAATTCGTTCTTCTGTTTTCTGTTTGTCAATGAACAGCAGCTCCATCTACCCAGTTATTCAAGTCTCCTTGCTTATTCCCTTTCCCCCAAGGCCAGTCCCTCAGCAACTCCAGATTCTTCCTCCTGAATAGAACCCAGATTCATCCCCACCACACAGGCCTGACTCCAGGGTAACCTCGCTGGTCCCCTCACTTCTGTTCTTGTTCCCCTCCGATGCACTCTCCACACAATGGCCAGAATGATTTTGTGAAAAACTGATTGAGCCATGCCATTTATTTACCTAAACCCCTTCAGTGGCTTCCATGGCATTTAGAATAAACCCTCGCATGCGTAGCCTGAGCTAGGAGGCCCTGCATGACCCTCTCCTGCCTATGCCCCACCTCATCTCATGCCTCACTCACTCCAGTCCCACTGGCCTTTTAGCTCCTGTGGCAGACCAAACCCTCCCCCCTCTCAGGAACATGCTGTTCCTTCTGCCTGGAACACACTTCCCCAATGCTTTACGCCTCTTCCTCCTCTTCCTTAATTTTTTAAAAATATTTTTATTGGGGAATTGGGGGATGGGAACAGTGCTGAATTGGGGAAGGGGAATAGACAAGTTGCTGTCCTTTTGTTCTTCAGTCTAGTTGTGGAGGATGTTGCTTCACTGGCCCAAGTTGGCACCATCATTGCGCTCTTCTCGGGCGAGGCAGATCAGTCACTGGCTTCTGGACGGCCGCTCACGCTGGCTGCTGGCTACACACAGTAGCTCATGGCAACCCACTGAAGCAGGGGCTGTAGCCTACGCCATCGCCGGCGACTCACGGCAGCCCAGCTCCAGGTTGAGCTGTTGTTCAGCATCTTAGCTGTAGAGGGCAGTGTCACTGGCCCTCATATGTGGGATCTGAACCGGGGCCCTCTCGCGTCCCAAGGTCAGCTCTTAACCAATGTGCCACTCGGCCGGCCCTTCCTCCTCTTCCTTTAGATCTCAACTTCCACGTTGCCTCCTTAGAAAGGCCCTCCCCACCCCTTCACCACCAACTTTATTCTTCCTCCTTATGCCCTTGTGCCTTGTTCCACACAGCACTTATTATACATTGTTATTCTATATGTATTCAATTATTGAATGGTTTCCTTATCTTTCACTGGACCATAAACTCTGTAAAGGCAGAGATAATATTCTGTTGAGGCTTGGCATACAATGGGCACTCGTTAATACTTGTCAAGTGAATTAATTAATTCAACAATCATGCATTGTGCTTTCTGGGTACTTGGCCCTATACTGGGCGTGGCAGATACAGAGGTGTGTTTCTGTCCCTGAGGAGCTCATAGGCTGTGAGGGAGACTGATGAGAAAACAGACAATTACACGGCAGCTAATTAAGTATATTGATGGAGAAAACACAGGACTCTTTCTTCCCTTTTTTTCTCAGTTTTATTACAAAATAAATTACTGGACTTTTGTCAGGCAGCTTTACCATCCTTTACTGCTGACCATCATTCCTGCCAGGGCATCGCCTCTTACTCAGAACAGAAAGACCTTAAAGGCAGAGGCCCTTGTGTGGACCCTAGAGTCAAGCAGACCTGGGTTCCCATCCTGCCCAGCCATTTCCTAGCTATGTAAACTGGGGCAAGTCATTTAACTTAAGAAAATTTTTGCAGTCAGAGAGTCAGAGGCCTGGGCCCCAGACCTGCTTCCAACAAAAATCATCATGTGATCTTGGCTAAGTCTCCCTCACCCTGAGCCTTAGTTTACCTAGTTTACCTCGTAACCAAGGGCCCGTCCAGCTCTCCAAGTCCTGGCTCTCCAAGTCCTGGTCTCTCTCCACCAGACCAAAGCGCTTTGTCTTGGCTGGAGATGGAATGTGGTATTAACTTGAGAAAAGCCAGTGTGTGTTCATACATTTCATTTGTTTATTATACAGTTTGGGCTGGTGCAGAGCAACCGTGTCATTGAAAAACGGCAGTGCTTTAAATTTTTCCTACTAAGGGAGAATTAAACCTTCTTGGGGGAAAAAATGACACATTTCTGAGCCCCAATCCCCATCATCCCTGAACTCTCCTTCCTTTAGCTTCAACTGGTCCGTAATCCACCCATCTATCCATCACCAACCGTTCCCTGAGCTCTTGCTCTGGCCAGGCCAGGGCTGGACATCCTGGTCCTCAAGGAGCAACCACTCTGGTGTGGGGACTGTCACTCAGGACTGAGCAAAATCACCAAAGCTGCTTTGAAAATTCAGATGTCAGGCCTCACGCTGGGCTTACTGAACCAGAAATACCAAGGGGACCAATCAGGGGTTTGTTTTAAAAGCTCCAGAAGTGTTCTAAAGGTTAAAAAAAAATAAAAATCCCGATGTCTTGGGGTCAGGCTTCTGGCTGGAGCTAAAGAGCCTGGCTGCTGCTTTTCAGTCCCCGGGGGCTCCAAGCTGTCACCCCAGGAGACAGGGGTTTTCCACAGTGTAATTGTGCCAAGGCAGTGGGAGGACACACATTAAGGCACATTTGTTTCTGGTTTCAATAACCTACAAGTCTGGGCCCCAAAGCCTGACATTCATGACTCTAAATTCTCTAACTTTTTTTCCAGGAGAATCTGCCACCCCTTCTCTGTGCTAGGCCCCTGGAAACAGGCTGGTCACCTGATTAGTCCCTAAACATGCCACAAACTTTTCTACCTCCACACCTTTGCTCATGCCGTTTCCCCGTCCACGAATGCCCTCTTCTCCTCTTAATTAAGTCTCACTCTATGTTCAAGACCTAGCTCAGGTTTCTGTCTGTGAAATCCTCCCAGCTCTTCATTTATTAATATCTATTGGTAATTACCTGCTTGTAACCCTGGATGTACTCAGTATTGTTAGTTAAATGAATTTGCAGCCACAGCTGGCATACCACGTTATGGAGTACTGACACCTTTTTTTGTACAGTAGTGACATAGAAATAAATTAGCATTTTTATCTGGACTAGCCTTTTATGTTGCTGAACAAGGAGTGTCCTGCCAAGGGGTAGGATTAGTTGCCATAACCCCTCCATGGAGTAGGGCCATGTGCATCGCTGTATTTTTATGTGAGATGCTGGGAGAGGGTCAGGTTCATTTTCCCCTTGTTGTTCACACTAACCTCTACCTGGCGGTCAGTGTAACAGATTTTTGCAGGAAATGGAAATCTAATAGACAAGCAAAGAGAAATGAAGAGATGTAAAGAAGTATGGGCAGTAATGGTGGAGGTTGACACAAGGGATGAAAAGACCTTGTGTCTGCCTTGGAGGGTCTCACCATCTGGCAGGGAGACAGTCGCAGAGACAGTTTGTTCCAGAGGAAGGAGGGAGGACGGTGGGGCCAGCTGGCCTGGGCTGGAGCCCGATTCAGTCACTCTTCCCACAATCTGGCACCTTCCAGCTCTTGGGCCTCTTTTCTCTAGAATCCATGCCAAACCAGTACCA